GATGATATGGGTGTTCATTCCCCACTGAATATTAATAAATCCACTGTATCGGATGAAGATACAGCTAGTCCGGTTCAAACGGTAGCCGGTAAAGACTTATCAAATTCGTTTATGGCTGTCACTTTCCCAAAAAGTGAAAATGAAGAAAGTTTATCTTCTTCTCAGAACGAAGATTACCACTATCTTTTACCCAAAACCTGAAACAGAAAACTAAAAAAGCCCAGAAAACTAAGGACATAGAATTTCTCATTACCAAAACAGTAGAAAAACTACTCAAACAAAAACGAAAACAAGACAAATACATGATTAAATATCCAATCTCAATTCCAAACCATAAAAGTAGTCAAGAAAACACAGAAGAAAACTTAGAAACAATGCAATTTGCCCAAGATCCTAATGATGACGACTGTGGGATGAGTTTTGATTCTATAGCATTGCATAATTTAGACACATAAAATAAATAAATATATATATGTGTATATATATAAATAATAATAAAATTATACAATCAAGAGGGGTGCCTCTTTAGACAATCTGTGAGTCCCACTTTACTCACTACCACACATCTGTGGAAAAACTGTTGGGACATACTTAAAAGGATAAGACAGATACCAGACCACAAGGACAATAATGCAAGAAAAGGATCATCATTTCACATGACGATGGTGTCACGACCCAAATCGGGCCGCGACTGGCACCCACACTTACCCTCCTGTGCGAGCGAACCAACCAAATCTAAATCTTAACATTTCAATGTACTATCAACATAAAGTAATGCGAAAGACTTAAACTCATTAATAAAAACCAATTCAATAACTATTATTTCCCAAAATCTGGAAGTCATCATCACAAGAACATCTACTTCAAATTACTAAATCTAAAAGTATCTAAGAAGCTAAAATACGTAAGAGCTAGTCCATGCCGGAAGTTCAAGACATCAAGACATGAAGAGGAAGATCCAGTCCAAGCTAGAAGCATTAGCTCACCCTGATATCCGGAGTAATGAAGACTGACTAGAGTTGCGGTTGAGTTGAAGATGACGGCACGTTTGCTACACTCCACAAATAACAAAGAAGAAAACATAAAAGTAGGGGGTCAGTACAAGCACAAGTACTGAGTAGGTATCATCGGCCAACTCAAAATAGAAAACAGTATATACCAAGTAATATCATAAAATCAACTATGATACTCAACATGTAGCATTTACAATTACCATAACCCTTGGTTACAACACCAAGCTCATCAATGAGGACTCACGCCTCCTCATCATACTCATTTGGGATTTAGGTTCATTAGATTGAGTATATTAACATCTTTCAAGATTCATTATCTTTATTCCTCTCGTGTCGGTACGTGACACTCCGCTCCTCATATACTATCCTGGTGTCGGAACGTGACACTCCAATTCTCATATACTATCCTGGTACCGGAACGTGGCACCCGATCCATATTCTATCCTGGTGTCGGAACGTGACACTCCGATCCTCATATACTATCTTGGTACCGGAACGTGGCACCCGATTCATATTCTATTCTGGTGTCGGAACGTGACACTCCGATACTCATATACTATCCTGGTACCGAAACGTGGCACCCGATCCATATTCTATCCTGGTGTCGGAACGTTACACTCCGATCCTCATATACTATCCTGGTACCGGAACGTGGCACCCGATCCATATTCTATCCTGGCGTCGGAACGTGACACTCCGATCCTCATATACTATCCTGGTACCGGAACGTGGCACCCGATCCATATTCTATCCTGGTGTCGGAACGTGACACTCCGATCCTCATATACTATCCTGGTACCGGAACGTGGCACCCGATCTCCTAATCTCCTTCTATCAATTCATCAAGCCTTCTTTCTTACCAAGGCATCATCAATCTCATTATTTTAGTTCATCACGCCTTCTTTTATACCAAGGCCTCATCATTAACAAAGAGATTAGGGTTTTGCAAGATTTGGGATTCAATAACTTCATCATGCTTATATAATCATAATTATATAATTACATTCATGCAAGCATACAATTAAGCACATAGCAGGGTTTACAATATTATCAATACATATCATTCGCTATTAAGAGTTTACTACGAATATCGTTAGAGAAACCATAACCTACCTCCACCGAAGACTAGTGATCAAGCAAGAATTTCCCAAAGCCTTGTGTTTTTCCTCATCGTTCGTCTCTCTCTATCGATTCTCCTTCTCTCTCTTTCTGTTCTTTTCTTTTTCTTATTCAAACCCTCTTTCTTTTACCCTAATTAGCATATAATTAAGAATAAAAGATGGCAATAATAACCCACTAATTTACTCAAGGTTACCTCTTTTAACCCCCAAGTAATTAGACTTATTAACATAAACCCACTAACTTTATAATTAAAGTAGGAATAGTCCAAAACGTCCCTTAAAACGTGTAAAGAAATCCGACCCAGACTGGGATTACGCAACCTGTGACGGCCCGTCGTACCTGTGACGGCCCGTCGTACCTGCGACGGTCCGTCCTGCAGGTCGTCGCAAGGTTCAGAGACTCAATTTTCACCAAGGAGTCTGTGACGGTCCGTCACGCCCGTGACGGTCCGTCCTGCCATCCCGTTACGAAGTTCAGAGAGTCGATTTTTGGTACCCAATTTCCAAATTTCTAAGTGTTTTGAAACGAGACCCCTCGACGGTCCGTCGTGCTCATGACAGTCCGTCGTGGGTTCCATCGTCTCAGCCTGTTTTTCCAGAAATAAAATCTGCTGCTCAAAACGACTAAACAGGTCGTTACAGATGGGGCCCAAAAATGTACCCGACTGAGATGATAAGATTCTCTTTCCATTTGAAATGCGATGTTTGAAGTCCGAAGACCTCTATAAAAGCAAGCATTATCAAGAGAAGAACAACAACAAAAAGAAGAAAAAATCCCTAGCATAAAAAAAATGTCAAAAATCCCTTTCCAAAAGTCCCTAGCATAAAAAAACCCTCTGTAATATAAAGTTTGTACTAAGTTTGCAGAATTTATTTTTCTGTAAGTTATCGGGTTTCTGAAAGAGAAATTTCACTCCGTTAATTATGTAATTTTTCATCTTTTAGATCTAGTAACTTACCAGATATGTAAATTATGCTTGTTTATTTTATGTAAAAACTGTTTAATATATTTTCTTTAATATGAATCTATGTTACTTAGTATATGGTTAGTCTCTTAACCCTTAAAAAGAATCGATGAATTAACCTGTAAATTCGGAATCTGATAGGTCATGGGGAATGTTCTTAAGGAAGAACTATTAATGACCATATCCAGGGTGTGGTTAAAAAAGACTGCAATTAGGAACAAAAGCTAAGCGAAAGAAATGAATAGTAACAATAGATTCATTAATGGACAAAGTCCATAAAATAAAATTAAAAAAAAAGGAAGAATACTAGAAACTTATACTGAAAACTACATAATGAACAAGAGAGTGAAGGAGTACTGAGTAGGATTTCACAATAGAAAGTTTTATCACATTATTTTCATTTTTAAAAATATGTGAGGCTCTAAGGCCTTTAATAAAATGGAAACTAAATGACATAAATTCAGTAAAGTTGTGTTGGAAAATTAGTTACACTTAAATTATTAGGGTGGCGTATTACATATCTAACTCAAAAGTAAATTAATATCACCATAAAAATTGACTTGGAAATAAAGTTAAATACATAATAAATAAAGTGTGTCTAAGCGTAAAAAATTTAATTTTCTCAACCCCCACCATTCTCCTTCACGCCGCTCTGCCTTTCCTCTCCTCTCTATTTCGTCAAATATAACATGCAAGTTTCACTTTTTTTCCCCTAGACCATCTACAAGACATCACTATTCTCTATATTTAGAAAGTGAAATAGATAATAGGCTCTCCAAGCACTTTCTATTTCATTTTCTATACTATTTATATTTTATAGAGAGATGAATTATAGTTCTCCAATTTCGAAAAATTACTATTTGTACCCACTGTTTCACTATTTGATTATTTTATTATTATTTTTATTATGTAATTTTTTTAATTAGCATATTATAAATCATATAAGACCATTAAATAAATCTCTAATATTCGTAATTCTTTTTTAATATAATATAAAAAAATTTTAAAAATAAAATATTTAATATATACCACTTTCATTTTGAATTAATAATATTTTAACTTTTTTTAGTTTTTCATCGATTTAAGTGATATAATTTGAAATCATTAATATTATTATTCACTATGAAAAATGCACAAACTTCTTATGATAAGATGAAAATTTTTAATTTAAAAATAGAATACAGAACATAGTATAATGCAAGAATATACAAAAATAATTATTTTTAACTCCATACTATATTAATAAAGCATTTATGGGAATAGCTTTTCCAAATATAGGTTTGTAGTATCAATTAAAGCTTCGATTTGTCTTTTAGTAATTTCTTAGTAATTTTCAATCTAAAGGTTGAAGATGAGCCTATACTACTAGGAGTTGTTTACCAATTTAAGGTAAAAGATCAATAAGTACCTGTTATATAATGATCGAAATTTTGAAAATATATTAAATTAAGGTTTTATTATTTTTGAACTTATTTGTTTTGTAATTGTATCACCCTTTATTTTACATTCAAATTTAGTACGCAAATGATGCACTCAAATTTAGTACGGAAATGATTTTTCCCTAAATGAAAAACAAATATGCTTTTCTATTATTTTAAAAAGAATGAGAATATCAATCTCTCTCTTCCATTTTCTTCTTCTTGAATCTTTTCCACCATTTTAAATTTTAATTTTCTTAAACTTATGACAAAAAAAAAGGGAGAAAACTGAAAAAATTGACAAGGACACTCATACAGAATAATTAGTTCAATATATAAAAGATAATTTAATTACATTTTTCTTATTCTACATCCAAAATTTAAAATAAGCGAATAAAAATTATATTTACTTTGATTCTCAACCCTACCGCACCCCGTGATAATAATATAAAATAAAAGAATAATAGACATGCACATGCGGATTTTAGATGGATCTTTATGTATGAGTTGAGTTATAATAAATTGAGTAGTTGACTTATAGTATGCCAATAAAAATATATTATGAAATAAATATTTATTTTTTTGAATTTTCAAGCTAATGGGGTCAAAATATCAATTATATGTGATTTTCATTAAGATTAAGTCATTTGCGACCCCTTAAAGTTTTTTCGCATATTTCACTTGAACACCATATCTTAGGCTTGTTCCAAATGAACATCATTTTTAATTTTAAAAAAATGCATCGAACATTTTTTACAATCAACTAAAAATAGAAGTTATGTGTTATACAATAGCGGCTAACATGTCACTATAACTATTAAAAAAAGAACAGATGGAATTATCCCATAACAACAATTTAAAAATAAGTTAGAAATTAAAATAAAGTAAAAACTATGTTCTCAACCCCCCAAAAAAGTTTCTTCCTTGCCAGAACACTCCACCCACTCCCGACATCCATCCTTTTCGATTTTCTTTTTTTCCTGAAAACACACAGTGGTCGACAGCTAAAATTACGTAACCTCGATAATCATAATTATTCCACCTTTTCCTTTTCATCCTTATTATATTAAAAGACAACTTCAGGTTCATATTAGATTCGTCGGAAAAATGAACATTCGTCGAAATTGTTTTTAACTCAATTTGATTTTATTTTTGATGAAATTCTCTTTACAACTCAAATGAAAATGTTTAACACTAAACTTATTTGATCTTTTGTGTTTTTAACGATTATTTATTTCATTGATGTTTTCTCGGTGAAGATGACAATAATGATGATAATAGAATGATGCTAAAAAGAAAGAACGAATGAAGAATTATATGGAAAAGAAGCGTGTTGAGGGATGGTGTAATGACCCCGAAAGTTATTTTTGATAATTTTGAACTATTCATTGACTTTAGTTAATTATTTGATGGTAATTGTAGATAATTGACTTAATTGATATTTAATGGACTAAAGTATCATTTATTTAAGATCCTATACCTATTTTCCATCATATATTAAAATAAGTGAGTAAAATTTATCACTTTTAGTACATATTTATTTTAGAAAAAAAAAAGAAAGGGAAGAAGAAACACTAACCTGTGCAAACCGGCCGCCGGCATAAGAATTGACTTCTGCGCATCAAGTAATATTTCAGTTGATCTATTAAAGTATATAGTTATAGGTTATGTTATTATTAATAATATTATAATATAAGATAGTGAAACAAAAAGGAGTACAAAAGAAAAGAAAGGAAAAGAAATTACCTGGGAAACGATGGTCGTCATGGGAACCGCTTAATCTTTCATCGAGGTAAGTTCGAATCCTGCATTAATTTGTGTATTTGTGAATATGCTATTCTTAGAGGTCAAAATGCATTAAATAATAATAATTATTATTATAATCATTTGTAGATTGAGAAAGGTGAATAAGCAAATTTTGGATTGGAATTTATATGCGTGTTGATCATATATATAACTACAGTGGGTAGGCTTTGATTATTTTGTTTATGGAATAATCATTATGTAGTCATTACCAATTGATTGTTAAGTTAATGGTTAAAGTGAATTGAAATTTTGAACTAGATTTTTTTTTACTAGCAATTATATATTGTTGGATGATTTAAGTGGAAATTATAGGATGGAAGTTATGGCAAAAGATTGGGGCAGCAAGTTGCTGTCAGTGATTGGTTATATCAATTGTCATTATTGGATAATGATTACCATTATGGCATATAGGTTTGAAAGCAAAAACATGAATTAAATTGGATTCCTCTTGTTGGTGCAACGATAGATTATTTGAAAGTTATTAATTTTCTTGAAATTCTTCTTTTTATTTTGTTGAATTGATGATACTTTGAGAAATTTGAACTTGATCCTAGATTTAAAATTCTTAAAAAAATATGAGAGTTGACATGTTAATTGACATCAAAATTTAGGAAATAGATTTTTGATTTGTGTAAGTTTTTAAATATAGACTAAACCAATAGTAATATGGGTGTTGTCGGTTTCAAAATCTTATCCTGATTAAATATTTGGATAGATTGCATTGGCTTGGAAGCTCAACGAAAAGTGAAGGCTTGAATTCTGGAGTCATTGTTCGACTACTTGAGGCAAGTGAATTTCTAAATTCTGGTTAAGTGTATGAAATGTGTGTATTTTCTTGTGGTAGATGTTTGGGAGTAACGGAATTGGTGATGGGTTGACTTGTCCATATTGATTAATTCTAATGATGAAAAAAATGGGGATAACAAAAGGCAATGTGATTAATTGTTTATGTGTGTTGTGTTGAGAAAGGGTTGAAGGCTTGTTGAAAAATTGTTGATGTAACTTCATGTTTGTATGGTTGTGAATTGTGCAATGTTATGAAAATGGTCATCTCCTCATTATTTGTGTGAACTTGTCATCTGTATTATTCTGAGGCATTGGTTGTGACAAGTGTTATGTGCATTGAGAAAGAATGGGTACTTAAGAGGATGTATCATTTCGAGGGACGTATCACGCGCCGCGATGGATACTATATTTTGAGGGACGTATCGCGTGCCGCGATGGTTACTAATATCGAGGGTCGTGTCGTGCGCCGCGACTGATGCATGGACGGATATGTCCCTCATGGGTCCCGGACTGAGAGACAGCGGGTGTGTATCACTAGGTCAGACATGCATCATTATACTTGCCATTGCATTTCATTGCATTGCATTGCACATACTTATCACTAGTGAATTTGATATCGTGTTTTAATAATCTTCTGATTGCCTTTCTGCGGAACTTGTGATTGATCAATATTGAGCTTGTTATTGCGGATATGTAATTTGTTAAAGTGTTGTTGTGGAGGATATGTAATTATTCTAAGTGTTGTTTTTTGAGTTACGTGCTATGTAAACTGTGAGCTCTTAGGTTGGGCTGATGTTTATGCAGGTTGTATTTGTGGAGGTTCGGTTAGGGGTGGTAGGAGTACCCATATTTCATCCCCTGAGCTTGTGTTTAGGGATTTACTTGCTGAGTACCGTGTGGTTTTGGTTTCACCCCTTGCTTCTACAATTTTTTGTAGGTTAGTAGCCCGGACTCTGTGATATTTCTCTTCTGCTTGTCTGAGGTTCCTTGGAGATTTGAGAGGCAGCTGTTTGTCGACTCAGCATACTTTCTTTCTCCTTAGTTATGACCTTGTTCTATTCTAGAAACAAGTTTATTTGAGACTAGTATTTCTTTTGAATCAATTGTAATACTTTAGAGGCTTGTACACGTGACAACCAGATTTTGGGAGTGTTTTGAATTGATTATGAAATTTCCGCATTTTATTCTAACGGCTGAATTTTAGGCTGACTTGTCTTGGTGGGATAAGAAGAGTGTCATCACATCCATTTTTGGATCATGACAGATGGTAGAAAAGGAATTTTGTCGATGAGATTCAAGTGATTTTAGATGGATCTTTACGTATTAGTTGAGTTATAATAAATTGAGTAGTTGCCTTATAGTATACCAATAAAAATATATCATGAAATAAAATTTTTTTTTTGAATCTTCAAGATAGTGGAGTCAAAATATGAATTATATGTGATTTTTATCAAGCTTAAGTCATTTGCGACCCCTTAAAGTTTTTCACATATTTCACTTGAACACCTTATCGTAGGCTTGTTCTAGTTAAACATCATTTTTAATTTTAAAAAAATTACCTATCGAACATTTTTTACAATCAACTAAAAATAGAAGTTATGTGTTATACACTAGCGGCTAACGTGTCACTGTAACTATTAAAAAAAGGATAGATGGAATTATCCCATAACAACAACTTAAAAATAAGTAGAAACTAAAATAAAGTAAAACATATGTTTTTAACCCCCCAAAAGATGTTTCTTCCTCCTTTTTCTTCTTTGTCAGAACACTCCACCCACTCCCAACACCCATCCTTTCCCATTTTCTTTTTTTTCTGAAAACACACAGTGACCGACAGCTTAAATTATGTACCCTCGATAATCATTATTATTCCACCTTTTCCTTATCATTCTTATTGCATAAAAACACAACTTTATATTCACATTAGTTTTGTCGGAAAAAATAAAGATTCTTCGAAATTATTTTTAACTCAATTTGGTTTTATTTTTGATAAAATTCTCTTTACAACTCAAATGAAAATCTTTAACAATAATCTAATTTGACCTTAAGTATTTTCACTGATTATTTATTCCATTGATGTTTTTCGGTGAAGATGACAATAATGGTGATAATGGAATGATGCTAAAAAGAAAGAAAGAATGAAGTATTATATAGAAAAGGGCATGTTGAGGGATGGTAGCAAAAGAATTTGTTCGATAAGATTCTAGTGATTTTAGATGGATCTTTACGTATGAGTTGAGTTATAATAAATTGAATAGATGACTTATAGTATGCCAATAAATATATATCATGAAATAGATAAAAAAGTTTTAGAAATTTTCAAGCTAATGGGATCAAAATATGAATTATATGTGATTTTTATTACGCTTAAGTCCTTTGCGACCCCTTAAAGTTTTTCATATATTTCACTTGAATACCTTATCTTAGGCTTGTTCCAGTTGAACAACATTTTTAATAAAAAATACCTATCGAACATTTTTTACAATCAACTAAAAATACAAATTATGTGTTATACACTAGCGGCTAACGTATCACTGTAACAATTAAAAAAAGGACAGATGGAATTATCCTATAACAACAATTTAAAAATAAGTTAGAAATTAAAATAAAGTAAAAATTATGTTTTCAACCCCCATAAGAAGTTTCTTCCTCCTTTTTCTTCTTTGCCAGAACACTCCACCCACACCCGACATCCATCCTTTCCCATTTTCTTTTTTGTCTTAAAACACATAGTGATCGACAACTAAAATTCCGTACCCTCGATAATCATTATTATTCCACCTATTCCTTTTCATTCTTATTATATAAAAAGACAACTTCAGATTCATATTAGTTTTGTCGGAAAAATGAACATTCGTCGAAATTGTTTTTAACTCAATTTGAATTTATTTTTGATGATATTCTCTTTACAACTCAAATGAAAATCTTTAACAATACAACTCAAATGATCTTTTGTGTTTATACTGATTATTTATTTCATTGATTTTTTCGGTGAAGGTGACAATAATGATGATAATGGAATGATCCTAAAAAGAAAGAATGAAGGAAGGATTATATGGAAAAGGTGCGTGTTGAAGGATTGTAGCAAAGGAATTTGGTGAATGAGATTCAAGTGATTTTAGATGAATCTTTACGTATGAGTTGAGTTTTAATAAATTGAGTAGTTGACTTATAGTATGCCAATAAAAATATATCATGAAATAAATATTTTTTTTTTTGAATTTTCAAGCTAAAGGGGTCAAAATATGAATTATATGTGATGTTTATTAAGCTTAAGTTATTTGCGACCCCTAATAGTTTTTCGCATATTTCACCTGAACAGCTTATCTTAGGCTTGTCCACTTGAACATCATATTTACTAAAAAAATACCTATCAAATATTTTTTACAATCGACTATAAAAAGAAATTATGTGTTATACACTAGCAGCTAACGTGTCACCGTAACTCTTGAAAAAAGGACAGATGGAATTATCCCACAACAACAATTTAAAAATAAGTTAGAAATTAACATAAAGTAAAAATTATGTTTTCAACCCCCAAAAGAAGTTTCTTTCTCCTTTTTCTTCTTTGTCAAAACACTCCACCCACACCCGACATATATCCTTTCCCATTTTCTTTTTTGCCTGAAAAGACACAGTTCGATAATCATTATTATTCCACCTTCTTATTTTCATTCTTGTTATATAAAAAGACAACTTCAGATTCATATTTGTTCTGTTGGAGAAATGAACATTCGTCGAAATTGTTTTTAACTCAATTTGATTTTGTTTTTGATGAAATTCTTGTTACAACTATAATGAAAATCTTTAACAATAAACTCATTTGATCTTTTGTGTTTTTACTGATTATTTATTTCATTGATGTTTTTCGGCGAAGATAACAATAATTATGATAATGGAATGATGCTAAAAAGAAAGAATGAATGAAGGATTATATGGAAAAGGGGCATGTTTGAGGGATGGCAGTAAATGAATTTGGTCGATGAGATTCAAATGATTTTAGATGGATCTTTACGTATGAGTTGAGTTATGATAAATTGAGTAGTTGACTTATAGTATGCCAATAAAAATAAATCATGAAATAAATAATTTTTTTTTGAATTTTCAAGCTAATGAATTATATGTGATTTTTATTAAGCTTAAGTTATTTGCGACCCCTTAAAATTTTTCGCATATTTCACTTGAACACCTTATCGTAGGCTTGTTCCAGTTGAACATCATTTTTAATTAAAAAAAATACCTATCGAACATTTTTACAATCAACTAAAAATAGAAGTTATGTGTTATACACTAGCGACTAACGTGTCACTGTAACTATTCAAAAAAGGACAGATGGAATTATCTCATAACAACAATTTAAAAATAATTTAGAAATTATTTTAAAGTAAAAACTATGTTTTCAAACCCCAAAAGAAGTTTCTTCCTCCCTTTTCTTTTTTGCCAGAACACTCCACCCACTTCCGACATCCATCCTTTTCCATTTTCTTTTTTTGCCTGAAAACACACAGTGGTCAACAACTAAAATTACGTACCCTCGATAATCATTATTATTCCACCTTTTCTTTTTCATTCTTATTATATAAAAAGACAACTACAAATTCATGTTAGTTTTGACGGAAAAAATGAACATTCTTCGAAATTGTTTTTAACTCAATTTGGTTTCATTTTTGATGAAATTCTCTTTACAACTTAAATGAAAATCTTTAACAATATATTCATTTGATCTTTTGTGTTACTGATTATTTATTTCATTGATATTTTTCGGTAAAGATGACAATAATGATGATAATGAAAAGATGCTAAAAAGAGAGAACGAATGAAGGATTATATGGAAAAGGGGTGTGTTGAGGGA